TGGACCGATTCTACAAGAGAAAGCAAACGATTTAGCAAAACTATTGGGTAAAGATTTTTCATGTTCTTCATCGTGGATTCAGCGGTTTCGGGTAAGACACAATATTACTTTTTCTAAAGTTAGCGGAGAATCTGCCAGTGTAAACCTTGAAGAAACAACCAAATGGATGGAGATGGTTTGGCCAAAATTGCGCGAGGGGTATGATGATACTGAAATTTATAACTGTGATGAGACAGGATTATTTTTTAAAATGCTACCTGACAAAACTTTTAAATTTAAAGGCGAGACTTGTTCTGGAGGAAAAATGTCTAAAGAGAGGTTAACCGTACTTGTGTGTGCTAATATGACCGGAACATCAAAAAAGAAACTTTTTGTGATAGGAAAATCGAAAACCCCGCGTTGTTTTAAAAATATTAAATCTTTGCCAGTGATTTATGAAGCAAATAAACGTGCATGGATGACATCTGAATTGTGGGATAGATTTTTACGAAAATGGGACAGTGAACTAAAAAGAAAGAGAGAAAAGATTTTACTATTAGTAGATAACTGTCCATCGCATACCAAGTTAAATGATTTGCATTGTATTAAGCTAGTTTTTTTACCCCCAAACTGCACATCAGTATTACAACCAATGGACCAAGGGATCATAAAATGTCTAAAAACAAAATTTAGAAAATTGTTAGTTCTAAAAATGATTGATAATATTGAACACAAAAAAGAAACTAAATTAAATGTATTGGATGCTATTTTATTGTTAACTCAATCGTGGAATGAAATAACAATAGAAACTATAAAAAATTGTTTTTCTCATGCGGGATTTCTCACTACAGTACAAAATATTTCTACTTCTTTAAATACTCAAGAAAACAATTTTGACTACCCAAACTTCGAAAATTTTGTAGATATAGACACTGAGGTAGCTACAACAGGATTATTAAGTGATGAGGACATAGTGAGTACACTATCCAAACCAAATGAAGAAGAAGAAGAAGAGGAAATAACTGATGAAGATAAAGATTATTTAACAGTAGAAGGAGCGTATAAATCATTAGAAAACATTGTTAATTTTTCATTACTAAATAATATTGACTTGAATCAAAATTTTAATTCATTAAAACTCACTATATAAAATATGCTATTAAATGATAAATCAAAACAGCTAAAAATCACTGACTTCTTAAAATAATTGTGTAAAATAAAAAATGTAAAAATATATTCTATTATTAAAAAAAATAATGTATAATATAAGCAATATTTTAAATTCTAAGTTATGTATAGTAAAATAATATGTATGTACAATTTGTAAAATAAAATTAAAATTATAATAATATACTTGTGTGGTTTAAAAATTCATTGTACGAGTAGAATTCATAGTATAATATATTGATAATTGATAGAAAAAAAAAATTGGTTATAACAACATCTGGTTATAACGACGTATACCTTACGGTCCCTTGACCGTCGTTATAGATGATACGGACTGTATTTGTTGTATGCCATTATTGTTTACACAATTGTGTAAGCACAATTCAGGTGGATCATATCGGATAGACTGCCCCTGCCCGTGCTACTTCAACGCGCCACACGAATAACGGAAAATCCATCGAAATTGATTTATAGTTTTATAAAAACTATATTCTAAATTTAATAGTTTTTCGTGAGGGTATGGAGCAAATAATAAGATCAGAAACTTAGCTCGAAAATCGGAATCTTGAACAACCGAAAAAAATAAACACGTGAAATACATTTGGGAATAGTTGTAAATGATCAAACGCGTTAAGAGATCGAAATATATATTATATTTACATATAAATATTATTTAGATGGCCCCATATCAATATATAATTTCACTAGAATATGATTGAATTTATATTTTATATTATTTATACGTAGAAAATACCGGACAGGATATTTTGCTCATAAATCTGCAGTCGTTTCATTTTGCTTATCCAGTAGAGAATAATGCGTATATTCTGTGTACATAGAATCCTTCTAATAATTTTATATAGTAACTATAAAATTCAATGCCAATGATTAACCATCGCATTGGAAGAACCTAACGCAACTAGGTTTTTACTTTATCATAGTGTTTATGTTGTTTTTCCAATAATTTTAAGTACTCATAAAAATAAGTTGCTGCATGCAGTTGTAACAAATTCAGATATTTATTGAGTACACAAATACAATATAATAATATAGTAGTAATATTATATGGTTTGAGTTCGTTATATTAAAATTTTATGGTTCACTAAATATATAAATAACTACGTTATTAAAATAAATATTTGTATTTAAATTTAATAAAACTGTCTTAAGTTATTATGTACATGCCCCAATAATTTAAACTTGAATTATTATAGAAAATAATGTACTCGACAGTTTTTGTAATAGATATAGTTATACAATGTAGTAAATATATAGGTACTCTGATCAATAATAATACGTAGTGTGTGGAAAATTTCCTTCTCGAGTATATTATTAAATTTAAGTCGACATATCTTCTAATCAATTTACTTATCGTTAAATTAATTATAGTTAGTACATTTTCTGATAAACTAATATTTAAATTGAAAAAAATGTAGCTATGGAATTAGTTTAACAATTAAAATCTAAAATTATAAATTGATTAAAATTATATTAAAAAAAACAAACCACTTATCTAGCATTGTAATTTAAGTTTAAATGTTATTCGTTTTATTATTTTTTGATATATTTTAAAACAATACAAAACAACAATACATTTTACTACATATTTTTTTGTTATATCAAATAATATTAGTTGTACAATAATTATAAGATGTATAATATATGAGTTGTTTTACATGAACATTTTAAAGCACCTGAAAGATCTCTTTGTAAGTTATCTGAATTTAAACAACTGCAGATTTGAGTTTAATAACTTTTTGAAATACTTAAATTATTGTTAGTGTGGGAAGTTAATTTTTTTATTACTGACAACTCACTAAAGTTTTAATATATAATTAAAAACTTTAAATTTGTCATATATTTTTTTCTTGTAAAACAGAATCTTTTTATAATTTTAAACGTTCAATATTTAAAAAAAATTAAAATCTCATAGTTTTACTTTTATAAATTAGATTATTTAATTTTTTTGTTTTATTCATATAATGATACAAAATGTAATAGCACATCACATAATATATTATATACCTACCTATGTATTATTATCATAATTTATATTTTTTATTATGAATTTATTATTAATCATATATTTTGAAAGTTAAAAATTTCAAATTTTTTAATAGCATTACTTATATTATGTAGGTATAATATGATTTCCTTTGAAAAAAAATTGTCTTTAAACTAGTCACTTAATCATTTAAATCTTTTTTTTTTTTTTTTTAATAAAACGTTAAATCTACCATAGCAAAGTAGTGTCCTGTTTAATAGTGACCTATTTTATAATCGAGGTGAATTCGAGTTTTTAAAAATTAAATTTAGAGATATTCTAAATATAAACCAGAGCTAGACAGATGATTTTCTTGGAGTACATTCCTAGAAAAAAATATGTTATGTTATCTCGTATTCTAGAGTCCAAGCAAAACAAATGATTTATTAGATTTGAAGTTATGTCTTTTATAAAAAAAAAACTTGTTTTTTTTCATTAAGCTCAGAAAAATGTAGTATTTAATATGTCTATGAATTGGAAATTATACTTATGACAGTGTTTATATCTAAAAATATATATAGTTTTTTTTTTTTTGAAGACATTTTATTTATATGTATTTTACTATAAGATGTGTGTAGTAGGTAAACTAAATTTTACATGTAGTCGTATGATTTCTACAGACCATTTGTAAAATGTCAAATCGTATTATCTATTGATTTTAATCATAGAAAAATAATACATTTAATTGATATGAGATAGGGAACAAAGTATAAAAGAAGCTCAATGCTCATTCATAGAATCTGGTGAATTCCATTCATTTCATTTTTATCTATTTTAGGACTACGCCTGATTAATATACTCTTTTGACTTTATTTAAGATTAAACATGTTAACTTAATTTTATAACAATGTAATAATAGAGGACGAAGGCTGCATTACTCATTCGAACATTTCTAAGTTTTTTAAATTTATGTAAGATACTTTATTTTACATCATACAAATAGCTTATATTTATATAGGTACACTAAAAGGCGACGATCCAATTTAATATTTGATTAAATACCGTAAAAATAAATTGCTATGGACGACGAGAAAGAAAAATAATAAATCAGTTTTTAAACGACCTTCGTGTAATCGTGTGTAATATTTTCCGCGTAATATTCGACTAATAAGTGTCATAACGTGAATAGAGAACGCAGATTTAAGTGTGTATAATTGCATCGACTGAATTATTGATAGTTATGTATGTAATTACTTTCCAGTAATGATAATTAGATCGAACATAAACTGTATGTAGTATAGATAGAAATAATAATCGATACACATTATATATATATAGGTTATTTTTATAACTATTTAATTGAATGAATAATATTTTATAAACAATTTATTATTATGTCTAAAAATCATGAACCGTATAGTCATTCGTTGTAGTTAGTCATCAAAATGTTTTTATCTTGTGTATTAAACATTTTAAAATATATCTATACGAATATGTGAATATGTAATATATAATGACATGTGCATCATAACAATCATAATAATAATAATTATAATATATTTTCTACTAGCAACAATTTGATTAAGACGATATAATATCGCGTGTATTCAGAGTTTATGACGTGTACGTTGTAAAAAAAAAAAAAAAATGTAATGGTTACCGTCCATTTAATATTATATTACTATAATAACGTTACGTTGAGAATAACATAATAATTACTATTAAAGGTAGGTACCCAGTGTATTCACTTAGATATAAATATTAAATGTAATGTTTGACCTAACATTATACCAACGCTATAGGTCGTTCTGTCGTGAAAATGTCTTGTTGGCCTTTGTTATGTAACGCGTTTATGATTATTATTATTTACCTGCTCAGTCGATTGTTCTTCTATGACCATTTTCATCTCAAGACATTGCCGGGTTTCAAGAAAGGCGGTCCGCTGCTGTTTGTCGGCCAGGAAATAGGACAAAAGTCCCAAACAATTGGACGCCAAGAGGAGAACGCTGTTTGTGGCCAACTGTAAAATAAAAAAAAAAAAATAAAAAAAAAAATTAAATAAAACAAATTAATAAATAAAAAAAAAAAAAAACGAAACACATTATATTATTATATAATATACACTGACGCGCCGTTATAAGACAAATATCATGAGAAAATAAAACATGATATTATTACGTACGAAATGAAATCATTGTTATTATCATGACTTTATATTGCATTGTATCGTATTATGTGTGTTTAATACCCGCACGGTTTATAGGTCTATTGCGATACGTATAGACGTGTACCGGACCGTATATTATACGCAGTGCAATATCACCCTAGCCGTGCACATGACATAATAACATGCAGGGTCTGCAGCTTCCGCCGGTTACCGCGGTTACGGGGATCGGTCGGTCGTCAAATAATAGTAACAATAACAATAATAATAATAATATATAACACTAATAATGATAACCTGCTAATAAAATGTATAATAACGGATTACGTTTTATTTATATATATATATATATAGGTACCTGTAGGCTATAATACCTGTAAAACATGCGGCGTATCGCATAAACTTAGAAGTAAAGAGGCATTTACGTGTGCGCGCGGATGTGCGCGTATTAGGTCGACGACAATCGTCATTTCACGGCAGATTATATACCGTCGACGACGAAACAAAACGCGTATCTATTGTACACAGATGACACGTCATACACACTGCGCACACACTCGCATCACGACAAGACAATGGGATGTATTGAATTACTTATACGCACACACACACATCGCTCTGATGTGGATTTATGACCGTGTCAAGAGCACTTTCATTTTATTCCGCAAAAGCCATAAAAACCGTAAATCGATCAATGTCAATCGGCGGAACGACGCCGTCGTATATATCGAAACAATAATAATATAGTGTATCCTCGCGCGAAAACGGTTTACGCGAATATATTCCACAGACGGTTATATTATTGTACACACTTGCATGATGTTTAACACGTATAGGCGGGCGCATTCGGCTATTAGATTAATATTTCATTTGCCCGCCGAGCCGGTGCAGTGGGTCTTTTATTTGTTATCACTCATCAACCTCTTTCCCGAACACGCTTTCATTATTACAGAGAAAACTGCGCCGCCCGTCCGGCTGTGAGCTGCGTATTACGTATTATTATATTCGCGTGAGTTCTGTGTAAGTACTTTAAGTATAGGTGCCTACGCGCAGTGCTCGCGTACACTGCTGTATAGCAGCAGCTATGTTAGGTATGTGGTACCTGCGATGTGTATAACGTCATCGCCAAGGCTAGGATTTATACGGTATACGCGACAGCGTATTCTTTTTGTGACTTCTGATTATTGCTTTTGTAAGTAATGTCCACGGATGAATCACCTCGTGATGAGATAAACAGTGGTGATTTTATTTTGCATGTTATCGCATATTTCGAGTAAAATCAATATTATTGCATATTTCGGCTATAAAAACGCGAAAAATGCATATTTTATGGTATATTTCGTTACCAGACGTTTTTATCGGGCGACAGTATGTATTGACGCTGTTCAAAAATACCTATTTAACCCTTTCAGTCCCCGATGCCATTAGAATAGCAGAATGATATAAAAATCGTTATAAAATTGAATTTAAAATATTCCGTTGTGTAATACACGAATTTATACGTAAAAACACGTGTAGAACACATTAAAAATGATAACAATACAATTCGGAGCTTATACAAAATGATAATGACAATTTATTGATAACAAAAATGTTTACTGAAATATTTATTTTATTATTTCACATTTGATTTTATTATAAAATGTCAAAGACGTTCTAAAAATCCCATATTTTTTTTCATGTGTATACACTGATACTGTAAACATATTATAAAGTAATATAGTTATTAATATTAATCGTTATCGTTTTATCGTACCTTAAATGTTATGCCATTAGAATGGCAATTGGGCGTAATGTTGTAATTCTATCAACTAATATTTACGTTTTACATCACTGATAAACAGTTGTTATTCGTCTCATTTTCCGTACGTCGAACGTTAGTCTACGGTCGTTACTCGTTACTGCGTAGTTTGAATTTCATTTTGTTTAACGTAAGTATTTTATAGATTCAAATTTACTACATACATATAAATAATTTTAATATTGTGTTTATGTAATATGAAATAATTTAGGTATTTATTTATAATGTCACGAAAACAACTCCGTGATTTTGATATTTTGGAATTGCTTGGTAACGGCCGAGACTCAGATTTATCATCTCTATCTGGTGATGATTATGAAGAAGAAGAAAATAGTTTTCCTACATCTGAATTAGACCAACTTTTAAATGATTTTACTAATTTCAAAGATGGTGATGATGGTAATGAATTGTTTCCTGATTTGTTTGATGTTGATATTCCTACTGATAATTGTATGTTCAATTATAAATATTTTATATTTTTATCATTTTTATTTTTAAACTACTCATGTTTAGATGAAATAAGTGAAGTCAATTCTATATTCCAGTCATCTCAAAATACTGATTTTTTCAGTCCATTTCAAACACCTACTATATCACCTATGGTGAATTTACCATTTGTTGACAAAAAAGATATGAAACCAATGGTTTGTAGTGAATTTGACATCCAACAACCAGTACCTGAATTATCTATTTTAAAAACATTAAATCCATTGGATTATTTTATGAATTATTTTCCTGAAGAAGAATTTGAAAAAATGGCTAAATATACTAATATTTATGCTGAACAAAAAAATAAATTAGTTACCTATGTTATTAAAATATTATGTAACTTACAAGACTTATTCAAAAAATTTTTTTTTATGTATGTGATATGATAAATAAAGTTGTTTTTATATTTGTTACAATATTATTATTTTTTTTTTTTTTTTGTTACAATTAGTTATAATATTAAAATATTATGTATGTTTAAAAAGTTTTTCAAAAAATCTCATAGTATGTATGTGATAAATAAAATTTTTATTTTACTTTCTATATTGTCTATTTTATTTTATTAACAATTAAGACTAAAAATTAATTTTAAAAAATGCATAACTAAAAAAAAGAATTGAACAGACTTTATTTATAATGTTTAGCATTTCATTACTTAACGCCCAATTGCCATTCTGATAGCATAACAAATTATTACCGTTAACGCCCAATTGCAATTATAATAGCATAATTCAATAACTCATGACTTGGTGATCAAAAAATTTTGAAATAAAAAATAATTCTTAGTTAGACATAATATATAAGTAATTAAAAGTCAAATATTTTTTTTTTTTATCAGAACTTAATTTGGGATTGAAAGGGTTAAGGTATACCTATATTATACAGTCCAACAGAAGACTGTCCTGCAGTTTTGAAAATTTAAAACACCACGTAAGTGTTTTGTGTAATACATTTATTTTGAATAACGTGAATAGTTAAGAATGTTATTTAATTAATTTTAAAACGTACGATTTGTTTTTTAAGTGTATACGTATATCATATTTTTAGCGTACATAATATTAATTGAATATTTTTGCATATTTTTAATAAACCAAATGTTTATTTCACAATTTTTTATTGCATATAAATCCTAGCCCTAGTCATCGCATATCGTCTGATCCGATCTCCGTAGAACATGAACAAATCGTACGAATTCTTCCGGCTTTCAAGTATTATGTTGAATAAATCACGCCGAGGTTCGAATGTATACTATGGGCATCAATATACATAATATAATAGGCTGTGAATCATGGAGTGCATTTTCTGATTTGTGCACACCTGCGTAGATAATACACGACCATTGTTTTAACCATAACTCATCAGTTCGTAAATAAGTAGGGTAAATTTTACCATTGAGGCATTAAATCGCACGGGCGATGAATATAAAGTTTTGAATTATCCAAAAATCGGTTTGAATAATTTAACATAGGCGTTGCATATATATAAATATTAAAATATTTCGTAAAATAACTGCGGTGTACTTACGATTTACGAGCAATATTTATGGACAAGAGACTAGGTAATAGCGAAAACGATAAAAAAGTACCGAGTTGTTGTACAACTAATTATACCATAATAAATAAACCATAATAGTAAAATTGTAAAATATATCAGTTAAACGCTCTGATGATAATAAAATCGGAGATATACCTACGCGTGCTTCGTTTTAAAAAATGTGAAGATAAACTAATATTTTAAATTTTGAACGAAGAAGAACACTGGCTGTGAGGGGAGTGAGAAACTATATGGTTTTATATTTTTTGTTCATATAAAATAAAAGTATCAGACTATAAAACTGTGCTTAAATGTTGGATTTTTTTTTTTGATAATGCCAACGAATCAGCTGGGTATATTTAAACACGGAAAAACGAATATTTTGAGAATAAATGGTTATTGTAATTCTAAAACAATGGCGACAAAGTACGTACCTACAACAATAAGCACATAATCACTGACCTTTGATATTTGGCAATATTATTCGCAAGGAGAATGAATCGGGCGTTAATAAACCTAGTGATTTCATAAAATCTCTGAATAACCCGACAAAATACAAATTTTTGAAATACTCCACAAGTTCTATCCTACAAAATAATTATGGCCGCTCCCGACACTATGGTGAAACGAAAATTCGTAATTTATTACACGAGTATAATATGATATCTGAACATAAAATTATAAATAATTTATAATAAGGTATAATGTAATTAAAGATCATAGAAGGTACTTAAATTTAAAATGATACAAATAATTACCGTTCTCGATTTATATTTACATATATATATATATGAATTATGAGTATAATTAAAATAATAATATGTTCTGTGAAACTCGGATGGATTAAAGTTGTTTTAAAAAATTAAGTATTACGTTTCTCTAACTAAACACGAATGTTGTGCGTGAAAGAAATATAATATAATTTTTCTCGAAGAGTGAAAAAGCAAACTAATCGATTCCGTTTTGTAAACATAACTCAAAAATATAAAGAAAATATTTGTTCCTCGTCGCTTTTCAGTGATAACAATAATTA